CTTAACAGGGCTTCAGACCATGAAAACAAAGAAATAAAGTACTCATACTCTAGCAAATACTTAAATGGGTATATATACACTAAACTACCTAGACCCAATCTCAGTGTCTTTTTTTTTCTTTTTTTGAGATAGGGTCTCATTCTCACTCTCTTGCCCAGGTGGAGGGCAGTGGTCCGATCTCAGCTCAATGCAACCTCTGCTTCCTGGGTTCAAGCAATTCTCCTGCCTCAGCCTCCATAGTAGCTGGGACTGACAACACAGGCACATGCGACCATGGTCAGTAAGTTTTACAAAAAATCTTTTTAGAGATGAGGTCTCCCTATTTTTCCCAGGCTGGTTTAGAACTCATGGGCTCAAGCAATTCTGCCACCTCGCCCTCCCAAAGTGCTAGGATTATAGGCATGAGCCACTGCACCCTGCCTTTATCTTTTTTATCTAATCTCTGACAACTTGTTGGCTAAACAGTAGATTCAAAAGTAGAAAAAATACAACAGCACAAAGATTGCCAGAAAGTCAAATAGCATCTACCAGTGAAAAACCCTAAAAGTTTAGCCTAAATAATAAGCATATAGAAAGATGCTCAACATCATTGGTCATTAGGAAAATGCAAATTAAAACTACAATAATATGCTACGTCAAAAGCAGTCTATCCACAAGGAATACTATTTAGCAATAAGAAGAAGTAAACCTTCCTTTGAAATATCTATGACATAGATGAACCTCAAAAACATTGTGTGAGAACAAAAATGTTCTCAAACTGATTTATGGTGATGGTAGTACCAGTCAGTAAATTTACTAAAAATCAGTGAGTTGTGCACTTTATAGGAGTAATTTTTTTTTTTCTCACTCTGTCACCCAGGCTGAAGTGCAGTGGTGCCACCTTGGCTCACTGCAATCTCTACTTCCCAGGCTCAAATGATCCTCCCACCTCAGCCTCCTAAGTAGCTGAGATTACAGGCTAGTGCCACCACGCTAAGCTAATTTTTTATATTTTGACAGAGATGCGGTTTCACCATGTTGCCCAAGCTGGTCTGGAACTCCTGAGCTCAAGCAATCCACCGCCTCAGCCTCCCAAAGTGCTGGGATTATAGATGTAAGCCACTGTATCCAGCCCTGAAATGGGTAAATTTCATGATACACAAAATATGCCTCAATAAACTAGTGAAGAAAACACAAGTTAGGTACTCAATTCACATTTTGTATATATGCCATAAATTAAAATAGTATTCCTATTTTCATCCTATTTTAGATGGCTGTATTAGCACACAGCCATCTAAAATTTGACCAAGCACAGAAGGTCTATTCTCAGGCAGAAACCTGTTGAACTACAAAAGCATCTACCTACCAGTTAGTTGCGATACACTAGAAATACTTACAGAATCAGAATGTCTGCAGGGCCTCATTCCCTTCATTTGGCAAAACTCACAAATTCATAAATCACATGTCAGCTAAATCATGAAGCATAGAGACCCATTAGACCAAAACAAAAGAGGGAAACCAAAATGCAGTCTAGATTATAAAGCAAACAGAAAAAGGAGCTAAAGACATAAAAAGCTCTCCTGTCTCTACCTAGCATCGTTCCTCTGCATGCATAAGGCCCAAGGAGTGTGAAGACACTAAGTCTCCAAAGCCTTTTGAGGGGAAAGGAAACTAACACTGATGATACAGGTGTAAGCTAATCACTCTATTTTTGTCACTTTGTAGACAATAAAACATTTATCAAAAAAACAGCCTAGCTTAAAGCTTTCCAATCTTGTATTGAATATAAAGAAATTCAGGAATGCAGACTAAAAAAAATAGTGATGATGACCATATTAATTACTGCCAACATTAACAGCATTTTCTATGTGTCAAGTGCTAAGAAATTCACAAACATGATCTCATTTAATCTTTACAAAAACTCTAGGATGTGGGTAATATTATGATTTCCATTTCCAAATGGGGAAACTGAAGCACCGCTTGATCAAGTTTTCCAAAGACCCAGTAGTTCCAACAAGTAACTGGCAACAGCAGTGTCACCTAAAGGAGGGCCACCAAGATGAGAACAGCACTTTACAAAAGAAATCCTAAAGAAGCCCAACACATTCCAGATCGAATCCTTCTCTTACAAGCCTTAGAGACTCTCTCTCTAGAAAAGTGTCCAGGAGCTGGGAACTGGGGCTCACGCCTATAATCCCAGCACTTGGGGAGGCCGAGGCGGGCAGATTACGAGGCCAAGGGATTGAGACCATCCTGGCCAACATGGTGAAACCCCATCTCTACTAAAAATACAAAAATCAGCTGGGCGTGGTGGTGTGCCTGTATTCCCAGCTACTCGGGAGGCAGAGGTTGCAGTGAGCCGAGAACACACCACTGCACTCCAGCCTGCCAACAGAGCGAGACTCCATCTCAAGAAAAAAAAAAAAGAAAGAAAGAAAGAAAAGTGTCCAGGAGTAATAAATAAGATGTAAATCAAGAGACTAAAGTGAACCGGAAGACATAAAAATCTGACTATTCACTTCATGGATACCGACTTTGCAGATCGACCTCAACTGAAAGGCAACCCTCTAAAACTACCTCCTCAACTTGGCTCAGAGAACACTTGCTATCCTTCTTCATTCCTGATGATTTAACTCTGTTCTGGAACAGCAAGATCATAAAAGGCTGTAAACTGAAGAGGCCTCTGGTCTCCCAGCTACTCCCAAGACACACAGAAAGTTTTCACTCAGTCCATTTTCTCTATCTGACCTTCTACACTCACCTTCATTTGTGTAAACCCCTTAATCCATCAGGTCTGGCAAAATGTCAGAGGCCCTTCTCTCAGTGCTGCCCATCATGGCCCTCAACATCTCATCACTGCTGTGGACACTCAGCTCTTTCATACACTGTTACCTATTAAAGGGTGCACACCCATCTCCCCAGTTTTACAGGAAGGTTTTGTGGAAGGAAGCATGTTCACATTGTTTTTGCATTCCTTGAAGTATCTAGTAAAATGGTAGCACCAGAAATATTTAAGAGTTTTTAAAGTAAGAAGAGCTTTGTATGTTTGCTTTTTGGTATAACAACATTTTTATTTGAATTTTTTATTTGGCATACCAATACCCTAAGATTATAAGCTCACTGATGTAACACATAAAAACTTCATTTCTTTGTACAGTATATTTTTAAAAAGAATGAGGGTAAGGGGTTCAACTGTGACAGACATAAATTACTTCTTTTCCAGAAGTACTAAAATCATTCTATATATTTTCACAGTTGCCAAAGTAAAATCTAACCTTGTAAATAAACCGCTCTATTGTCTTATGTTTCCAAATGAAGGATATTAAATAAACATCTTTTTGTTCAATGTAACACTAGATGAAACAAATGTAAAAATCACTTTTTAAAATGTAAAATTTTCTTTTGTCAAACTAAGAAAGTGCCAAAAAGCTATTATAAACGGCAAGAACTAATATACATAAGTTTAACTTACAGGGAGAAAGCTGAACGTAAAATTGTGAGTACATATGTATAGGCTTGCTGATCCCCAACAATGAAAAACAAAGACAAGGAGGAATTTGGAACAAAGTAAGAACATTTTCTTCCATTATAATTCTTCATTTCATGATGTTAATAACAAAAGAAAACATGGTAAGAAAAGCTCAGATCTGAATACATTTTTTTAAATGCCCACAACTAAAGTATTTCATACCTGTAAACATGGCATGAAAATAAGGACTACAGGCGGCCAGCACCACTCTATGAGCAGAGATTTCCATGTCTTCTGCCACAATTGTGACATCGCATAGCAAATTTTGACTGTGTAAAAAGCAGAGAGAAAAAATTTAAATAATATCAATGACTGTATTGAACATCCTATGCAAAAATATTACAGTAAAGCACACTCTCATCACGTTGAAACTAACTTAAAAGATAGCCATCCTTTGGGACATGATCCCTAAACATGAAGAACATAGAAAATAGCTGTGATAAAGGCCCAACATTCCCTCATTCAGAATCTTGCCTTTGTTTAACACAAAAATCTTCCCAAACTTGATTATTGACTTCTCAACCTAAAGGCAATTACTGGCAGCAAACCATCAGTGGACTGCGAAAGAAGTTGCCTGAATAATACGTAGCAGCAGAAGTGGCAGGTGGCAGTCTGACATGAAGATGAAGAAAAAAACACATGCTGAAAACTCAACTGGGTCAAATACTGCCCCTAACAAAAAAAATAAAAATATTTTAAAAGACCTAGTTTGTCAAGCAATGGTAAAATTATACCCAATTACACCTGCTGTTTAAAAGGCTTTGGGAATTTGAAGCTTAACTTAATCATAACATTTTACCAATGCAAAATATCTCGTCCTTCAAGGCCAGAAAATACTATATCTAAAGTTAAAAAGCACTTTGGCCAGGTGCAGTGGCTCATGCGGGTAATCCCAATACTCTGTGAGGCCAAGGTAGGTGGATCACCTGAAGCCAGAAGTTCAACACCAGCCTGGCCAATATGGTGAAAGCCAGGCTCTATTAAAAATACAAAAATTAGCCAGGTATGGTAGCCCACACCTGTGATCCCAGCTACTCGGGAGGCTGCAGGAGGATCACTTGAACCTAGGAGGCGGAGGTTGCAGTCAGCCAATGTTGCACTACCACACTCCAGCCTGCGTGACAGAGTGAGACTCTGTTTCAAAAAAAAGCATTTTGTTACCTCAAAACAAACCATTATTCAGCAATCATGATTTTAAAACATCCATTGTAATTCACCCAAAAACATGTGGTATGCATTTCTGACATGCAATACGTGGTACCAGATCATACTCTCCAGGTAATTAAGAATGTCACAGAATATTTTTAACAGAAAACGGTGCTGATGCTTACTGCACAACAAGCAAGAAGGCTCCAAAGCCTAAAACCTGCCTTGCTAGTAGTCATATCATGAATGACTGAAATGGGTGTGGCAAAAGCAAACGTCCCTTCTACACCTCACATACCCAAGCACTGAATTTATGTCCATGTGCATGGCGCATGCAGGTCACACTTGGCACCCTCCTCCACTGTTCTATTTCCTACAAGGGTGGCCTGCCTGCTTCCCTAATTTTCTAGTAGCTTACAAACAACATTTTCCATGAGCTTGATCAAGTCCATGAAATTTTCTACCTGTCCATACTGCTTACAAACTTGTTCCTATAAAGTTCATGCCAAAACTTTTTGGAGACTACTGGTTAACTATTCTCCTTCCAGTTTAGGAGAAATGGAAGGAAAAAAAAAAGACTACCCCAGCATCAGTGATGACTGCATCCCAGGGCCTCATCACCGATGAGTTTGCCATGCCATTTAGATTATAGCATGGCTCGTGCATTACCAGTTTAATGGCACATGATGCTGTATGAGACATAAGGCAGGTCTCGTATTAGAGTCATAAAAGGTAGTACAGTATCACTAATTTATAATTCCTCCAGATCATTGTGGAGCCCTGACAAAGTCTACCATCTGCTCTGAGAATATGAAACCATTCTGCAATTCTATGCATTCTACGGGTTCACACATAACTAGGGTGGGAAAAGTCAGTGGTGTCAACAGTGTTTTCAGGAAGGTACTATGCAAGAGTTTTGCCTGCATGTATTATTTCATTTAGTGCCCACCACAATGTTATAAGGTATTATTTTTATCCCCAAATTTATAGCTGGGGAAACCAAGGTTAAAGTTCTCCAACTAATGGCAGTGCCAGGTTTCAAATCCACAGGCTGACTCCAGAGCCTCCACTACACAAAACCTAAAGCTATACAATTTTAAGATCTGTTAAAGTTTGAATAAAACAGGAAAGAGAATAAATTATAAATAACAATTTATTTTTTGACATACTGTATACTAAAAAATAATTTTAAGTTCTATATATAGCTAATAAAAGGCCCAATTTTAGTGGGTTTTTAGCACTACATCTACGGAATATTTTTTTTTAAAGTTTGTTTATTCATTCAACAAAGTACTGCAAGACCATCTCTGCCCTTAAGAAGACCAGCAGAAAAAGACTGGCAACAGAAAAATTACAGAATAAAGTGGAAAGCACCATAATAAAGATGTTATGGAAAGTGGGGGATGGCACATTCAAATCAGACTGGGAACCAGAAAGGGCTTCCTGCAGCGACTGACCTTCAGCTGAGTTCTAAAAACAAGTAGAGTTAGTTGGATGGAGAAGGAGCAAAAGAATCCCAAAGATAACAGTATGTACTATTACATGGAGGCCTGAACCAGCAACGCAGAATGTGGAACTGTGGGCCAAGAAGAGTGGTGAGAGAGCAAGACGGGAGCAAAGAAACTCTGGAGCAGGGTCAGCAGAGCATGCATAGTCTCTCTAGAATGAAGCAATCCAGCTGTCTCTTTTGTGACCTGGGGATTTGAACACGACTCAAACATGAGTCAAGTGCATCTTTATGCCTGTTTTCCTTTTGTCAGTAATCCCTCCTAGTGCTTTAGATGGCACCTAAGTGGAATTACACTTGAACACCTTAAAAATCACATAATTAATTACATTCGGCTTCAACTACAATTATTCATTAATCCAAACTTCTAACATAATACCTGCTGGCTGTCACTTACATAATTAACTTGGCCTTACTGGCTTATTAATTGATGTTAGATAACTAATAAGGTTAAAACACTGCTAAGATATTATGCAGCCACATCCTGGGTTAGGTCTCAGAGCCACTTTACAAATTAAGGACATGCCTAGTTTTAGCATTCAATTTTTTATCTGTCTTCAGTAATAACATTATTTTAAAGCAGCATTCAGAGATGAGAGATCCGACCAACTCCTACTAGTTTGTGTCACTGAATATACAATGAGTGTGTATCAGTACGTGTACATTGAGTCCGGCCCTTACCTCTATCCAAATTTGCATGATTACAAGAAGTTGAATGACTTTTGAGTGAGAGAGCTATGAACGAAAAGTCTGGCACTAAAAATAAGAAAAACTTGTTTTAGCAGCCTATATGCAAAGTCTTCCATGGTGAATTCCTGAGTTTATGTTCCTATTACTTGAAATCTACTGAGGGAATAAACTGCAGGAAAGGAAAGCCTTCAAAATAATGGAATAAATAAAGTTGTTATTTAGCAAAATTTGCATGTATTCATTCATTCATCAAGCACTATGTGAGCTTACCACAATAAACAAGATAAAAGCCATGACAGTATGAAGTCTACAGTCATGTGAGAGAGACAGACAAGGAAATAAGTGATTATAAAATGAACCCACAATTATTAAGATGGGGCAAGTATGTGGTATTTGGAAATGCACAGGAAAGGCTAGGCCCAACCTTATGGGAAAGCTTCAGAATGAAGTGGCTTCTAAGCTCAAATCTAAAGGGAAAAGAACAGGAATTAGATAGGCTTAATGTAAAATTCAAACAGCACAGAATAAAGAAAGGCACTCCATCTCCTAAAAAAAAATTATACCATGAAAATTGGTCCTTCTCAGGACAAAAAAAAAAAAAACTGCTTTGAAAAAACACGAAACATTCCTGAACATACTAAGACATCCTTGGGTTTTCCGATATAAAATGAATGAATTCCTAAGACTAAGGAAAACCTGTCACTGCTTTTAAAATGCACAGTGTCTATCTTCTAAAAGTAAAATATGCCTCACAACAGGGACTGTAGTCAATAATAATTTAATGATACATTTAAAAATAACTAAAAGAGTATAACTGGATTGTTAATAACACCAAGGATAAATGCTTGAGGTGATGGATACTCCATTTACTCTAACATGATTATTATACATTGTATACCTGTATCAAAATATCTCAGGTATGCCATAAATAGATATATGTATATATACCTACTATGTACTCCCAGAAATTTAAAATTTTTTTAAAGTAAAATATGCCATCAGGCTTTGAGATATCAAAAATAATTGATAGTCACATGAAACAAGAATTACTTTCTAGTGGAAGTGGGGACAGTGAGGAGACACTTGGCATCTATCTACCTTTCTTCTTCAGGTGCCTAGGAAAACGTAGAAGCACTTCCTGGCACATGACGCAGAGCTAGAATAACACCTGAGGAGCTGGGCTAGTAAGAGGCGTTGTGAGCCTGAGTCCCCAGGGCAAATATAATCCGGAGCCTAGGAATGTGTCCAAAGTCAGTACCAAATGACCAGCAACAGGCACTGGAACAAAGATGTAAGAGCAAGGCATAAAAAGAAAGGAGACAGGAGGTCAGAAGCCAAGGAAATGAAAACTGGTCAGGAAGTGGAGGGTGAGCCAGATGTGGCACTGCTGCTCAGGACATGGCTATATCACCCCAAGAGTTACTACTCGGTGCCTAGGGAGGTGGGATAGGGAAGCAAGCTGTTTTAGGTGAAAGGCTTCCCGACTACAGATTTAAACTAGTCATATTTAACCAAACCTCTCATAACTGACAATTGACATATGTTATTTAATAGACAAGGCATACTGGCTAAAATGTCACTAACCTCGAAGAGCAACAGAACTCCTAAGAAGGGTCAGCCAGGTGTGGTGGCTCATGTCTGTAATCCCAGCACTTTGGGAGGCCAAGGCAGGCAGAGAGCCTGGGGCCAGGAGTTCAAGACCAGCCTGGACAACACAGTAAGACCCCACCTCTATTTAAAAAAAAAAAAAACAGAGAACACACAACAAAGGTCACTGCTGTCTTCCTTATTTTTCTTCTTAAACCCATGGTGGTAGGTAGCATCTTTGAATTTTGCAGCAGTTAAGCACAGGGAAAATCTAGACGGTGAGTTTAAGATGCACCACCACTATAGGAGTCCTGAAAAGAGACACAACCCCTCAACAGA